GTATATGAATGAATCGCAATCAAAGGATAATATTTATCTCCCTGTAATAGGTTATACCCGTCGTATGAATACAGAAAGCAAGAGTTCGCTCACAAGGGTCCATTATCTAGTACAGTGACCACTACACCACCATTCAATCCGTATAACAAAGTAGAGAAACTAAGTCTGGACGGCAAGAAACTACTATGGAAGAGACAAAATCATATCATCAAGCTTGTCAAGATGAAAAACATTTATAAATAGTTTTATATTTATTTCAAAAGCTTATTTCAGTGGGGATTTGACTGCAATGAATCCATTAAACGGTAAATTAATATTATTTGTTTAGAAAAGACCATTTGTCAAGGCACTGTTTGGAGATTTAAAAGTCAAATTTGCATATTTTAATTACGATATAGCGTTTTCACTCACGTGACAAGGCAGCCATCTTGGTGTACCAAACAATAGAGACTTTCTGCACAGTATTTGCATAAAAATAGAGTTCAATTCCTCGAGGATAGAAAGTGTATTGTTTTGGTACACCAAGATGTCTGCTGTSACGTCACGTGAAAACGCTCTATATAGAGGTGTGGGTTCCAGACTCTCTCTCACTCGTATTTTCCATTATCGCATTYTCTCGCGAGAATTGTAATTGTAATTTGATTTGTAACAAACCATTTAACACCATTGCACGTTATTTCACTATAATGTTTTATTCATATTTACAAAAACATAGCTTCAGAAACGCCCAGTGAATCTACAAAGGAGCTGAATCACGCCAGCTCGCAGTTTGACAAAGTGCACTACAAAAGGAATGGTCATTCCATATTTAGGTCTTGTTCTTGCCTTTTTTTGTTGCTTTATACACGTTTCAGTTGGTTTTCTTGTTGTTTAAATAGTACTTTTTAGCACCGAATATGTTCGTTCTTTTTCGCGCAACATTTACTTTAGTACTCAGTCCACGCGCTGCCAACTCACTCACGGCTTTCTTTTTTCTTCTTTTCTTGCTGTTATCATTTTTTATCAACGACAAAAGTTTTATCTTGTCTGTTTCATTAGGTTTAGACAACTGTTGCAGTTGCTGTATTCTTTAAACTTACTTCTTCTACAGTCGGCGCCATTTTGTTGCGCGTCAAATCGGCGATGGACATGTTACACACRTCGCTTGCTGAATATTCGTCACCTTGCGTTGCAAGTTTTTGAAGCCAGATCAAAAACTTGCAACGTGTTGCAGAGTGAAAAATTGCGCGAAAAATCGTCCTCGGCGCTATGTTACACGACAACGATTTTTTGTGCAACAGTGTTGCGCAAAAAAAATCGGCGTTGCAAGTTGGTCCGTGTAACAYCACCTTTAGCAATACAGCAACAAGGTACAGCGAGTGACGCCTTAGGATTCTTCAACATTGGCAATGCCAAAATAGTCATGACCTTCAGAGTTGAAGCACTTGTAAGAGCAGAGAAGACCTCTGACTGGGATGATACGAGTAYTTGTCTTGGTCTTTAATGTCTGAAATTAGGGAAAATAAACACAATCACTGGGTAGTTCATACGTGGTAAATACCGCTAAAGGCTATCAGTATATTAATTCACGTGATAAACAACGTAGCTCACGTGATTATTAGATTTCTTCATGTTATTAATCGATTGATATACGTGATCAATAGATGAGTTCGCGGGATACATAGTTCAAGTGATTTTACTAAACGACTACAAACTGCCAAGTTTTACCAAACGTCATTTCCGGTTAACCCAAGTGGGCGGGGATTTTTTGTACATCAGTGGTAACTGCGTTTGTCACTTAAAGGCTGATAAAGACTTATAAGAATCCATCGGCTGGTCGAAAACTCTTACAATATCATTTCGAAAAACTATGGGCTTTGAATTTTTAAGGAGCACGTGTAAGTGCCACGCCTACCTTTTTGACGTTTACGAAGTGTACACACACACTCTAACCAGGTATTCAAGAATGACTCTCCACGCACATTACACTCACTGGCATACTGTAACATCTCTTGGATCTATTGACACACCTACCTTTTTGGCGTCCACAAAGTGTACACACTCTAACCAGGTATTCAAGAATGATTCTCCACACACAGCACACTCACTGGCATACTGTAACATCTCTTGGATCTTTGGGTAGTGACGTATTGACCGTCTGACGTAGGAACGACTAGAAAGAGACACATTTTTATTTTAATTGGACTCCCGGGTACACGGATTGACRCACTGCAAGARAGCATAGATACTTATTTATGCTCTCTTGCGCACTGTTAATAACCTTTTTAACTTGAGCGTAATGCTTTCCTATTTCAGACCACGTGTCATTCCCATGAGTATCGGCTTTGTTTAACGGTTGCGCATGAGAAGACACATGAATAAAGATACAACTCAGACGTAGAATCTTATTCTCGAGAGAATGACACGTGGTCTGAAATGGAAAAAGCATTACGCCCAAGGTAAAAAGGTCTATTATGACTGGCTTTATTGTGAAATACCATAGCCAACAGTTTATGGTTTAGGAAGAAAGGAAGCCTTATTTTCAKTTTCAGTTTCAGGAGTTTTGACGCAAGATAGATCATATTAGAATTTGGAAGTTGATATTTGCGTGCAGAGGAAGGAAAACCAGAAAACGCAAAGG